GAGGAAAGAAGAGGAATGTGACACTACGAGGGAACAAAGAAGAAGAGGACGTAAAATAAGGAGGGATGGAGATGAAGGAGTGACGTTGCAGGTGGAGGAGACAGAGGAAGAGGAGGAGCTTGTGTTACTCTGTCTGAGCTTGTTGTGACTGCAACAGTGTGAATCACTGTCTCGCCTGGTCAGGTGTGTGTGTGTGTGTGTGTGTGTGTGTGTGTGTGTAACTACAGAGTAGTGCACCTGCTGTAAGAGTCAGGAGCTGCTGTCATACCAGCCTTCGCCTAATGAGGTCTTTGCTCACTTCCTGCCTCCTGGCCAGGTCACATGACCTTCTGAGGACTGTTGTTTGACTCTGACGACATAGTCGAGCTTTTAGCCTGAGCAGACTCGTTGCTTCCACGCTGCTGATTCTTGACTCGTTCTCTCTTTTAAAAAAACATGACAGAGCAGAAATTATTCAAAACCACGTCTGTGCTGTCTGGTGCGGCAGAGCTATTTTGAGAGACCGCACAATCAAGTAAGATGGGAAGAAAGCAGTGTCATAAAAATCTGAGGAAGCAGATCTGGACAGGGAATGGTCTTGTCATGATTGGATGATGTGTTCGGCACCAGGCAGTGGGAGTTAAAGGCTGCTAGAGGCCTCTCATTCACTGCCGACTGCTTATTGTGCCTGCCTGAGAAGCACAAGTCTGGACCGAGGCCAGAAACATGACCATTCCTCATTATGTACTCCATCGTCATCTCCCATCTCTGTTGTACACACATGAGACACATGCACTAATGGGACGAATGACTGCTCAGGCTGGTTTTTCTCTCAATATTAAGTTAAACGACGTCACAAGTCGGCCAGGCTTCTCTTGATGAGAGCAAAGTCCATTTCTGCCCAAGTCACAGTCTCTCCCTCTGTTTTCTTCACAAAGCGATGGAGTTCTCGTCGCTAGGAGCTGAAAAGCCTCAGGACTGTTGATTGCTTTACAAAAGAAAAAAGAAAGCCTCTTAAGGAAAGGAAACATGAGAAAAGGAGCAGGAGAGAAGGAAAAGAAATGGAAATATCACCAAGCTGCTGCATCTGGCTTTTGTCAGCTTCAACAAGAAGAGAGTATGTTTGCATAGCGCAGCAGAACAAGCCATACTTGTATGTTTTTGGATGCTTTTTGTGTTTTTGTGGCATGTAAATACTCAAGTGGATTATATCATCTCTAATGGATATGGCTGGGACTTGTTTTTTAAGAAGCTCTCTGCAGGACGCATATGAACTCCCGCTGTCTCCAGAAAACAGCATCTAACAGTTAACCAAAAATGTGAATTTACTCAGCAGCTATTGCCCTTCACAGGAAGTCAACTGAAAAAGAGAAAATAAAAAACAGAAATTCTCCCCCTGGATTCAGAGTTGCTTACCTCCACAGAGAGAGGGTAAGGATAAACAGAGCGAGCACCCCTGCAGCTCTGCAGAGCCACCGTCAGCTGCAGTCTGAGCACAGACCGTCTGTTGTGGCCAGGAAACAGAGAGCGAGTGAGCAAGAGAGTCAGTGACAGAGAGAGACAGAGAGTGCCACTGCCTGGTGAGGAAGTACAAGTGAGGTGAGGGAGTAAACAGGGAGGGAGGGGACACAGTCCTTTTTGGACTGTGTGGGAGGAGCTGCCGCTGACTTTGACACCCACGTGTGAGAGCAACTGCTACCAGGGAAAGACAGCGTGTGGGGGGGACTGAGGGAGAAGGCTGACATGGCAGCGACCACAAGGATCGAGGAGAGAGGGAAAGGGTGAACCGCAGACAGATTGAACCAAGAGAAAGTGAAGAGTTGAGACTCCTCAAACTGGTTGTACCTGCCGGCAGCTCACACTCGCCCTGCAGCTTCTGGATACGTGGAAGCAGCTTGACGTCTCACTGCTATAATTATCTGACTCCTGTCTTGGATTATGTGCACCGTTAGCATCAAATGAAGCTGTGATTAGAGGAGGAGAACAAACATTAGAGCTGTGGATGATGATGTGGTACGACTACAGGAATGAATGTCACCTCAACGCTCACCTGTACTCGCTCATGTGCTGTGCAGGTCAGTGTGTATCCCGACGTGTGTGTGTACATGCCCATAGTTTAGCCGAACAGTTGTTTACATGCTGCCAGCGTGCAGAGTGGCTGCTGTCAGCACGTGTTTCCCTGTGTGTTTGAACAGTTCCTGTTTGTGCACATGCTAAATGTGGTCTCTATTAATCATTGTGGGTGTCAGGCTAAAGGGTAGGACTTATATGTGTGCGTGTTTTGTTGTGTTTGGACAGCATGGAAGGGGGTGTGTACATCTTAACAATGCCCTCCTCTGTAGTTGAATGAGCGTCTCTCTGTAGCTGTCACTCACAAACCTCAGCTCCTCTCTTCTCTCCAGTTTGAAAATAATAATATTCCACACACGATTGATTTATGACCTAATTACCACACCTACATGAACCTGATAAGGCTTCATAGGTGCAGTGTTTAGTGCTGTGTGTGACCGATACACATGTGTGTGACTTTAGTGTGTTTTCACTGGGCCGACTAGCTGAGCTTCCCCGGCAGGTTTGGGAGTCAAGGCGTGTTGCAGTGGTGAAACTATTTTGCAACAGCATGTTGAAATATGGGTTCTTTGCCTAGGGGGGCTTGCCCTTTGTGTAAACTCTGTGTTACACTTCATGTCTGTGTGTGTGTGTGTGTGTGTGTGTGTGTGTGTGTGTGTGTGTATGTGTATGTGTTATGGAGTGTTGAAACTGACCTTGAGTTTTATCCAGTCGAGATATTTGACCCACTAAACCCTTAATTCGAATTTCCTCTTTGGAAATCCTTTCTACTTTTGGAGCTCTACAGTGGAAGGTGTCAGGGCTGTTTAGAGGCTGTGTGTGTGTGTGTGTGTGTGTTTGTATAGGTGTGGGTGAGAAAGTCAGAAAGATACTTAAAGGAGGAAGTGATACCGTTTATCTCTCCTCATGGCTGCTCTCTCGTACGGTTTCTCCATGGAAACTGATAAACAACTGACAGGAGGGGAAGTACCTGCAGCCGTCTGTTCTCTGATTGGCTGTTTGACAAACTGGAGGGAAAATACCCTTCTGTCATTGAGCTGCAGAGACTGTGTGCTCATATTGATATGAGTATTATGTTATAGTGTTTTTATTTTACCTGCATTTGTAACTATTGGAGTGGATATTTTCACTGATGTCAAATAACTGAAAATATGTTCAGACTTTCAACACCTCCTTAAAAATATTCATCAAGATTTATGTCTGCAAAATTATATATTTTTGTTTGGCCTTCAGTTCTAGTATGTGCTGACCATCAGGGACACAGCAGTAACATTATGCTACATTTATATTTCTGCTGATATGTTATTTGAAAGCATATAGAAACACACCAAATTTTGGGGTTTTCCTTCTCTATAGATGTTACCTGAAGATGCCTTGTTAGATTTTTAATGTTTAATATATAGCAGCATCTTGTAGGGCTGCAACAAACGTTTCTTTCTGTTATCAATTCATCTTTTTATTTTTTTGAAATGATTGATTAATCGTTTGGACTATAAAATGTCCAAAAATGTTTAGCACCAAGCCCACATAAAATGTCTTCAACGGTCTTGTTCCGTTTGACAAACAGTCAAGAACACAAAGAGATTCAGTCTTATATTACATAACGCACAAAGCAACAAATCCTCAGGATTAAGAAGCTCAAAAAATCAAATGATTATTTTTCTGTTGATCAGGAAAAATCTAACCAAGAAACTGTAAAGGTCTTAATGAACTCTGTTGTGGCCTGCTGCTGCACATTGCACACACAAGCAGTATTGCATTTTGCATTTTATTTATCTAAACAAAGCTGTTTTAAGAATATGCAACATCACTTGAAAGGATGTTTGACTATCCCTCCAGCAGGAAGTTAGATATTTAAGAGAATGGCGGGAAGGGAAAAAGAGAGAGGGTCTGCGTTTTCTCCCAGACAGACTGATACGAGCAGAGAGAGGCTAGAGAGGAAGAAAGGCTCCAACAGTGTGGAGGAGGAGGAGGAGGAGGAGGTGGTGGTGGTGGTTAGGAGGGAAGATAACACAGTTGTGGCTCAGCATCAGGCTCTATTCCTGGCCTGGCTGCCTCACTCCTCTGGCCTGCGGAGGACGCAGGCTGGAGGTCTGCCTGGCTGCAGATCACACTTCAGTCAGAGACTGTAGAAACAGAAACTGAGAAAAAGATTGAAGCATTAGACAGTAAACTGGTTTAAAGAAGGAGGAAAATGGAAAATAAAAAACATGCAGGCAGCCTTTTTCAGTTTCATTTTACAGCAGTTTACTCAGGGTGATGTCATCTAGGTTAAACATAAAGATAAAGCTGTTCAAGAATTTACAAGAGGTCATGTTTGTAGATACAGAGGATCTTATCTGTAGGACCTTGAGTCCATGAACTCAAAGAACCTTCACAGTTTCTTTAAGTGTTTCTCATTACATCAGCTGTTTTATTGCTTTACATCACTGTTGAGGAAGATAAATGACAGTTAACTGAAGAAGACAACAGTGAACGTACATGTGTGCTCCCATGTGCGAGTGGTGTCCAGTTACTCTTTATGTGTCATTTATTAGGTTTATGAAATGAAAGTGTGGGTTAATAAAAAGGCTTAGAGGGAGTAATCCAATACAAGCAGCAACTAAGCCACTAAGTGTAAGTTTGTGTGTGTTTGTGTGTGTGAGGAAAGAGCAGCAACATGTCTGCAGAAACCCTCTCCAGTTGTTCTTCACAAATCAATACAATCCATGCCTTTTAGTGTACTGAGTGAATACAGCATCATCTTTAACTGTCTCTGTGGGGAGTGTTTAAGCTCACTGCTTTTCTCCTCTGAGCTGGACTTGTGTGTGTATGTGTGTGTATGCGCATTTGTGTGCGTAACCTCGTCATCTACATAACACAGTGGAGTAATCGAGCTGGCTGCAGCAACCATGCTGGATTTGGATTATGTAATTAACCTCCCTCCTTTTTCTGTATTTCTTTCTCTCCAGATGAGCGGGACAGGGTGCAGAAGAAAACCTTCACAAAATGGGTCAACAAGCATCTCATCAAGGTTTGTGTCACTGAGTTCACATGGTTTGAAATGTTTTGCCTTTGTGGAAATACTTATTTTAATATGTTAAAAATAAGTGCTGAAGGTCTGCGCTTGGATTTTATCATCTTATCTTTAACAGAAATAATATTTTTAAGGACAATTCACCTCAAAATCAAAAATTCATATTTGTCCTACTCATAGACAAGAGGCTCTTGCTCGTGGCGGCAGGAGATTTAAACACAACTCACACCAAAACAACCTAGATTGATAAATAGTACTAGAGGTAAAAATGAACAATATATATTTTTGATTTTAGATAAATTGTTCCTTTAAACTTAATTGCATTATCTCACACCAGCACAGATCAAACAAAATATATAACATGATTTTGAGTCAAGGTGTTAGTGCATGCATGTATCAGAGAGCTTGATACACTGTTATACTTCATGTGCAGTGTTCAAAATGTGACCTTCTTTATCTTCTAAAACAGCATTTATTTGAAAATCAATGAAGTGAACAGTTTCAGGTCGTAAAGGAGCTGGACTGCACGTCTTGAATCTAGCATGAGCGTAAAAATAGCTTCAGAAAACGCCCCTGTACGTGTTCCAGTAACCTGGTTGGGATGAACTTTATTGCCCGACTCATTCCCTCTGCTGCTGTATCACAAAGCAACCAACTGAATACAATAAAAAATGAATCTTACGGGGGGGAAAAACACATTTTCTACATATCCTCCCCTTGTTCCTCTGCCTTAGGTGTTCCTTTAGCATCCCTTTTAGCAGAATGTCAGCTTCATAAACCAGTTATGGTTAATATTTGTGATGTAGAACCCCATCTAAGTCCCACTTCTCTAAGTGGAGACAGTGTGGTGTCATCAGCTGTGTGTGTGCTGACCAGTGTTAATGTGGCCTTGTCTGAGCAGCCTGTAGCCTGTCTGCATCACTCTGTCTGTTTACTTTATCACTGGTAGTAATGGCTCTAACATTACAGCTTGTTAAACCATTTCCCCCTGTCCGGCCACTTGGATCATGTTCAGCAGCGAAAGCAAAGCGGTAAATAAAGTAAACGTGAGTGTTGAATAAATATTTAACGGTGAATTCAGAAATGTTTACTGGAATGCAAATTACTAAATTATTGATTGGCAGACTGTCTTTGCCTCACCAGGATCCTGAATGTGATTGCTGCATTTGAAGGCATCAATAAAGAAACACTGAATAGATTAAATCTGAACGAGCAGCTGCATAAAGTCTTCATTGCTGGCTGTTTAAAAACACGCATAAATAAGTAAGATCTACAGTTCTCTTCACAGTGAAGAGAGCAATGTACGATAATACCCGCCAACCTTCAACTCATGTCAAAACATCAGTTAAAATGCCGTATGCTGAGTCAAACACTTAAAGTAGAGGAAACAGAAGGTAATGAAGGGAAAGGAAAACACTGATTATAATCTCTTTATAACCGTTAACTATAAGTGTCTCCTCTATAGGCCCCAGACAGCTGCCTTTACTGTCACATCTGCACACACATGCCCATTCTATCACATCCATAAACTACAGTATGCATACACATATGCACACACATACACACGCACACACGGGCGGTAAGGACTCTGAGGAGAGGAGAATGCAGGGTATTTCTGTCACATGACCCGCGAATGAAGCTGCGTCTGTCTGACCCCATAACTCTGGAGCGCCTGTCGTCACAGTGGCCAGCCTGTGAGTGTAACTCCATATCAGCTGGCACTGCCAGACCAACCACTGACTATAAATGTAGGTCAGAGATGGAGAGTGAGAGCAGCAGGCGGAGAGGCAGGATGCTTTTTCACTGCTGGAAACACAGCTCCCGTTCATCTGTAATAGGATGTCACTGTTTCACGGCTTTTGTGTGTTTTCTATTACATCACAGCAGATGATTGAATGATTGACTAGTTGATCAGCAGAAAATTAATTGGCAGCAGTTGATCAAATCAAAATAGATCAATCATTTAGGTCATTTCTTAAGCAAAAATGCCATTCCAATTTTAGCCACTCAAATATGAGAATATTAACTGTTTTTTGTTTTGTTTTGTCCGATTTTTAAAATTCATATCTTTTTTGACGGTTGAATCACACAAATAATTTGAACAAGTCGTCGTACTCGAGAAATTGTAATAGACATTTTGTGCTATGGCTGGGCAATATTTCGATATCATATAAATACTGAGATGGTGTGAGTAGATATCATCTTAGATTTTGGATATCGTAATACTTTAAGTGTTCTCTTTCCCGGTTTTTAGAGGCTGCATTACAGTAACATGTTTTAATTTCTTGAATTTAGCAGACTGTTCTAGCTGTTTTATTATTTACCTTTACCAACATAGTCGTTACATCCAAATAACTGGTGATTATCAAAAATCATGTGTAGATATTTTGTGAAAGCAATATCAATGTAGAGGTATTTGGTCAAAAATATTGTTATATTCAATTTTCACCACAGTGCACAGCCTTATTTTTCATCTTTTTTATGACACTTTTAATTTCTATTGATCAAGAAAATAATCTGCAGATTAATTGATTATTAAAATAACAGTTGCATGAAAGGAAAAAAAAAATGAGAGTACTAAAACATTGACAGAACATTTGTAGCCAGCAACTTTTTAGATTTTAAATTTTGATTAATTGTTTTAGTCATTTATTTATTCATTTATTTCTAATCCCAAACGCTAACTTGTTCGCTATTGTCTCAAATTGCAGATTTTCTGATTTATATATAATGTATTTGCATTTTTGCAAATACATTTACAACAAAAAACAAAAAAGATTTACAACAAAACAAGTTACATTTCAGTGGTTTTGAATTAAAAATGTTACAAAAGTTTCTAGAAACATCTTAAAAACTAACAGATATGTCTCAAAAAGAGAAAAATGGAGCAAGTTAACATTTTGAGAAAGAGAGGTGGCATAATGCAGCGTGAACAACTGCTGTTCTTTCACACTTTGTCTCCCTTCTTTATTTTTTCTTCACAGAGACACACGCTAGAAGCCATTACATTAGCACAGAGGTCACAGAGTTAGATTGTAACTATTAAAGAGAGTGCTAACCTTTACTGTCCTAGCAAGATGAGAGGAAAAAGGAACAGCGGGTGAGACAGAGGACAGGTTGGGTAGAAAGTGGAGGATGACATAAAGGAGGAGAAACAGGTCTTGTCTCATCTGTTGAAATATCTGCTGCTGTTAGATGAAAAAAGTGTTGCTACAGAAGAAGAATATTTCCAAAGGCGACTGTGTCCCAACACTGTTCTCTTGAATTGAGAGTGGGGTGAAATAGTTCTGTGTTCTATGTCATGTATTGACTCTCTGCCAGGACTGTTGAGTCTACAAACCTCTGCCCTATCAGCAGGGATTTATAGACAAACAGGAACAGAAAAAACACAACTGAGGCTCAGAAGGAGAAAAGGTTAAGACAGGAAGACTGAACAGAAAATAAGCTCATGTGACAAAAAGAACTGACATTAAAGAAAAGATAAAAAGATGGAGACAAAGACAGACGGGTGCTCTCGGCCCTCAGCTTCATGCTGGGTGACATCATCAACCTTGTTTCCTGTTTGCTCTGTGCGTGTCATGTGTGGTATGTTTTTAGTTGATCAGGTGTGCAGGGTGTTGACAGGTGTGTATCTGTGTGTGTGTGCATGTGTACAGTGCAAACACAGACTTATACAAACACTGGCCTCCAACCTACCTGCTGGCATGCAGTGACACACTTTGACCCAGCAGGTGTTGACACAGTGAGCACACATCCAGAGGCTTTGTATTAAGAAGGCAGGAAGAGGCAAGACACAAAGATGAAGGACTGTTAGCCACACTGTAGCTCAGTCAGCTAACAAGATGTTTAATCACATGCAATCTGTCTGTCTTTGTCGTTAAATGAGCCACAGCAGCCAGAGCTACACAGAAACCAGGCTTGAGACAACAAAGACATCAGCAAATGTCGCTGTCGACACTGAGTCTCATAATTAAACATGCTTTAGGCGTAAAGAGAGAATGTCAAATAGTGTTTGTTAAACAGAACAAACAGTACAAGAACGTAAATGTTTACATTTTTCACACATTCCAGTGCAATGAGAACATGTTTTACCTCATGTTCATGAGTATCTCCTTTTAAAATAATGTTAAGAGAGCTTTAAGCATGTAGCCTAATAGATGATAGAGGAAGAAATAAAGGAAAGGAGCTGCAAGAAGTTAACAGCAAAGAGTCCAGCCCTTACGTCTGGACCACACTACTTGTGTGAATTTCAACAAAATAGACAGTGAAAATGGTCGTTTAATAACCATACTGACACAGACATGAAAAAGACAGATTTCAAACACTTCCTGTTTTTGTTTCAAAATAAAATCCTACTGACAGCATTTCTGTGGACAGAATCCTTTCATCTGTTAACACAAGACTTTTATTGTGACGTATATGCACGACTTTGTTGTTGACAATGTCGTGGCTTGCAGGACTCCATAAATGAGTGGAGTACCGGCTTTTTAATTGTGGAAATATTGTTATAGCAGCACCATAGCAGCTTTACCAGCATCACTGGGTCAACACTGTCTGTGTGAACATAGCACTGTCACAATACTGGGATTTCTAACTTTGATACAATACCTTGGAAAGTAAAGATATTCAATACCATTTTCAATACGTTGGGGCAAAATTGACATTGAGAGCATACGATTTGTTGTGTTATAGCAAGATTATAACACAACAACAACAACAACAACTTTTCTGTTTGGAATTTCAGACAGTGTGTGGGGTTTGCCAGATAACCCATGTCACATTATATTAAATCACATTGCATTGAGTAGCATCTCCCTGACACACCCTTAATTGGCATTTAAATAATTGTCATCAGTCATTTTGCCATCTCACTATAGCTGCCAAACCCTATTTATCCAATAAGTGACTAAAAACCCATTTGAAGCTACTTGATCTGATTTAAGATGTTGAAATTATTTCCAAACTAAGTGTGACCCAGATGTGTGTTTAGCACATCAGTATATATGCTCATGCTGTTGCCCAGGCGCTGTCAGCACGGTCCTTCACATGAGCTCCATACGACAGTCTGCTCAAGTGCCGTCGTCGTCTGACAGCTGCCGTCACTGAACATCAGACACAGCTGGCTGTGAGAGCAACATCCCCGAAGACACACACCAACACACACAAACATCCTGTTAAAAAACAAAAAAACACAACACGAACAATCTACAGAAGCAGCTGGGTGTCACAGAGCGTTCTTAAATTCAGTGATGTGTCCCGAGACTGAACTCAGTCTTACTGGATGCATTACACACGGGAGTGTACTGTGGAATTTGTGTTTGATGTGTTGTGTAATGCGGCGGGACTTTCTGATAGGCCATCTTTGGACTCCCATGGTAGCATAAACAAAAATAAACTTCTAAGTTTCCCTTGATGGTCAGCTTAGTTGGTTTGATGACGTGAGGGGACACCAAGCTGTTTAGGAAAGAAAAAAGAATTTAGTTCCAGGTTTGGTCCATACTGTACTGTACACACTGAGTTTATGGTTTGGATGCACCTAGAATCACATGTTAGTCTTTGTTCTACTGAGAGAGGACCAATAATTACAGGAGAAGCAATGCTGTCTCAGTCAGCAGCAGCTTTTGTGTCCAGATAAATTATAGATAATTAGTAGATTCATCGGGGGGTTGGTTCCATGTCAAATCACAGCGTGGGCTTTCAGTAAGCTGGTATTAAACATTGACAGAGAGGAATCCACTCATTCAGACCGTCTCGGAACCAAGCACAGGCTCTCTGACACACCGAGACACAATTAGACAATACCAGCACCTCATTTCCAGTCAGTGGTGGATACAGCTTTTCTTCCTGTCATCCAATTAACACTTGTTCCATCAGCTTCTGTGTAAAACAGCTGATGTCAGAGGGGTGAGAGAGTGACACAGATGAGGGAGGAGGAGGAAGATGGATAGGGAAAAGGAGTTATTGAGGACAAGTGGAGGGATGTTGTGACTTTTATAGCTGCAGTTTTAAGCCAAAGACAATTATAGCTCTAAGCTCAGCCACAACACAGAGGCTTTGTGTTCTGTATAAAGTGACCTTTTAGGACATCTTGTTTTTAAAGATGTGTAAGGATGGTTGTTGCATTTTTATTAATTAATTTAAATAATACATCATGACTTTGTTGACAAGTGAATCCCTCTCTGTCTACTCTTGTGGCTGTCTTGCCCTCTTGTGGTGAAATGCGGTAGTGCATTTTCTTGTCCTGAGGCCAGGACTGCAGCAAAACTTTTCCCAGTGCAGGTGCAGAGAGAAGCAGGAAAATCACTGTAATGCAGGTAGACATGTGTCCTTGGTTGCCTAGGCAGTGGATCTGCATTTTTGAAGCAACAATTTTGAAGCACTGTGGGTAGGATAGCTGTTTGACCTTTGTTGCGTGCCCACATCCCTCTCTTTCCACTGTCTGCTTTCCAATGAAGCAGCAAATAGTTTATTTATTTTCCTCTGCTGTTGCTGTGCAGCTATTTTATGGTACCTAATGGTCCTCTTCGACAAACTGGTGACCTGGAAAGTAGTTTAGAATAAAAGAAGAACTGGAGACCTATAAAGAGTCTCTTTTTTGTTATGTCTTACTCAGTTGTTCTCTACTTTTATACACTGTTTTAAGATATTCTCTATTTTCATAAACTAAAACTACTATGCAGGATTTTCATAAAACAATGGCTATAAAATGTATATACTCACACAGAAGCACTCCCTCTCAATCATTACTTACGACCCACTCTCACTGTGTGGCGGTGCATTTCTCTGCAGAGACTCTGGCCTCTGCCTGGATTTTCTTTCTGTGTTCCAGACTTTTGTTGGGCGTGTATTCTCACAGCGCTCAGGGGAGGTGGGGTCTCAATAAGAAGGTAGCGGCAGTGTGCCAGACCATAAGCAGCAAGCATCCAAGAGAAAAAACGCAAATACAGTGAGGTGAAACGCGACATGATAGTGAATCTGGAGTTGGCAAACACTAAACTACACTCTCTCACCTTTTAACCAGGGTCCCCACTGCCACTGAAAACCGATAATAGTCATGAAATTTCACCATCATATATTTCAGGCCTGGAAAAGTCAGGGGAAATAGTAAAATCATTGAAAGTTGTGGAAAAGTCATGGAATGTTGTGAGTGATGAAATTGTTAACTGTTAACCTTCGGTGGATAACCTTCCATGTAATGTAACTTACAGTAAATTTATTTTCTGAAGCTGTCGATGTAACTGAGCTCTAATTTGCATTGTGTGTGATAACTTTTTGTTTACTGTCACGTATGTATCCATGTATGTCAGCTAGAGCCATCGAGTTTGAATCTGATGTGTTTGGAAAAACGCTGGACAAGTAGGGCAAGAAAGAAAAGCTTTTGTCGTGGATCCTTGAAAAGTCATGGAAAAGTTTTGAAATTTTGTCCATTAAAATAAATAGGAACCCTGTTTGACTTTGTTGACTGACGTGCGCCACGCAGTGATAATTAATGCATTACACAGTCTGTGTAACAGGGTGGATTATTCATACTCAGAGAGCAGGCGAGGAACATGAAAGCAAAGTCTCATGAACAAAATAATACTACGGATAGTCATATATCTTGATCTAATTCTTACATAAGATGGAGAAACTATCATATCATGCCGGCAGCATAAACTGTTTTTCAGTAGCTCACAATAAATATAGTAAAGTAATGTGAAACAATCTACATTTAGTTTGAGTATTCTGTAATACTTTTCTCACAGCTCAGCTGATCCGTTATTCCTTTCCTGCTCAGCCTGAAGCAGTCACTGTCTGTCCGTCTGTCCGTCTCACTCAGTGTCCCACTTTCAAACAAAACAAGCACTGATGCTGATCAGGCTGCTGAGTCACCGTGTCAGCAGCGGTTGCCACCGGTGACAACCTACCCCCACTCGACTCATTGTGGAGGCAATGTCATGGCAACAGAGACAAGAGGCCGCAGCTGGTGCCCTGTCTCCGTTGGCCCTGGCAACCGCTGTCACCAGCCCTGTCAGCTGCAGGGCAATCAGCTTGGCAGATGTCCACAGTGTTGAGTCAACAGAGAGATGATTGGAGTGTGGGATTAACTTTTTCTCTTTCTGCTTCTCTCCCCGTCCTTACTCCGTCCTTTCCTCTCCTCATTCCTCCCTCCTTCATTTCCTTTGCTACTTTTTTTCTTAGGTGAGGAAGCACATCACAGACCTGTACGAGGACCTGAGGGATGGACACAACCTGATTTCCTTGCTGGAGGTCCTCTCTGGAGTCACCCTGGTATGGATTTCATCTCCCTGCACAGACACATGATTTTGTTCCTCATTTATTATCATCACACTGTAATATTCTCCATCACACACTCCTCCCATGCTCCATCACACACCCCGTCATCCTCACTCCAGTGCATCACAGTCCTGAGAATGTTACAGACACTCTACAAAAGTAACGCTGGAGTCCGAGAGGCACTCAAAACTTTTTCAGCTTGAAAGTTCTCTCTGACTCCAGGCTGACACACCACTGATGCTCAAAGCTGAGCGTAATGCAGTGGTTTGAACTGCAGTGGCCTGACTTTGCTCAGCACGATGATGTAAGAGCCTTAGCCCTAATACTTGCAGACAAACAGGCCACCATGTGACGCAGACTGCTTCAGCAGCAGACAGGTAGACTAACACAAACAGACTGCTGACTCTGGTGTGCTCAGGTACACACAATCACAGAAAGGACACACAGCTCCCTCTTGGCCCTGTCACCTTCATAAGCAATCTGTGTGAGAGAATTAAACTTGCCCAGTGTTTAATTTTTTTTTTTATTTGTAGTTACGGTACTTTTATCCCTATTTCCAATTGGTCCCACCCTCTTCCATCCTCTCCTCTTTATCCACCAAATCTCACACTACATCTCCTCTTCCTCTCTTTCTATTTCCCCTCCCCTTCTGTTACCATAGCAACAGAAGAGCGGCCCTCCATTGAAAAGGGCATACGCCTCGCGGGCCCCCCCTCTCATCTTGCTCGGAGGGGAGGATGAGGAGGAGGAAGGAGCTCAGGGAGTATGTTCGAATCCAAACCCTCTCTCCCCCCCATTTTCCACCACTCACTCTGTCACTTCTGACCTCTGACCCCTTCAGCTTCACCCCTCTGCCTCCAACAGGTGGAGCTGTGAGGCTGCATGAGAGTGCTGTGCCACTGATATCTGACCAGCATACCGGGCTGCACATGACACCATACAATGCTGTGTCACTGTATGACACTACATGTAGGCCGTCATTTCTGTTGGGTGACAGCATAACAACATATGTGTTGATGGTTTATGGGTTTAAAGTATGTGTTCCTTTGCAAGCAGGCAGACAGACAGATAGACAGAGAGATATTAAGGTTCATCAGCCATCAAAAACGAGGCATTGTAACTGCTGATTTGTTTTCACCCAACATTGCTTTACAACTATTTTGCATGAATCACACGCAATAAAATATATCTTATTTATCATCATACACTCAGTGACCACTTTATTAGGTACACCTGAAAAATGTAGTGTAATCCAATGTAATAATCCAAAGTAATAATCCAATCCCAGCAGCTCAGCCATAAATTCTACCTCCACCCATCCATTTTCATCCACTTATCCAGGACCGGGGTCAGCAGGCTAAGCACGGTATTCCAAACGTCCCTCTCCCCAGAATCATTTTCCAGTTTCTCCTGGGGAGTCCCAAGGTTTTCTAAGGCCAGATAAGATGTATAATCCCTCCAGCATGTTCTGGGTCGCCTCCAAAGACTCCTACTAGTTCAGCGTACCCGGAAAACCTGTTATGGGAGGCACCCAGCAGAGATTCTGATCAGATGAGCAAACCACCTTAACTGGCCCCTTTCGACATTTTATACCCCTACCGCTGTGTTGGAAACCGCTTCCCCTCTGCCGCCTTCCCCTCATTAAAATGACTGAAGGTGGCGAGTTACTGCGCAGCGGTGTTAAAGCTCGAGGCAGTAACTCACTCCCAACCCAGAAGGAGCAATCCACTGTTTTTCTGGCAGAGAACCACGGCATCAGGTTCGCAGGGATTGACTCTCATCCCAGCTGCTTCACACTTGGCTGCAAACTGCCCCAGTGCATGCTGGAGGTCAGGGTGTGATGAAGCCAGCAGAACCACATCATCCTCAAAGAGCAGGGACGCAAGTCTGAGTTCCCCAAACCAGACAGTCGGACAATATTTATGTAACTGTATGTTTATTATTGTGGCTGCAGTTTGCACTAGTGTTGAACTGGACTGCGGCATATTTGTTTGTAATGTTTTGCTCACCCCATTTGCAACCATGAGGATAAAACACATCTCAATATAATGCAGTCCAGTACACAAACCATAACTTCAATAATAAACAGTCCACACAACAATGTCAACAAAAGCTGAACATGATAATCATCCTAAATGTAGAGTTTGTGGCAGATCTGTTGTGTTGGATTGGATTGCACTAAATTGTAAAGTGGCCAGAGAGTGTGTATTTGTAGCCTTGGATTTGATATTTTTGAGATGATGATGAGTATTTAATGTCTAAAACTAGTGTTGTTTTTCTTAATTGTGAGTGAATAGTAGAAGATAGTAAAAGTTCAGGACTGAACATTCAAATGTGAGGTATTAGCGAAATAGTAACGTGAATAGTCACACTTACAAAACAATTGCAATTAAAAAGTGTTTCATCTGATTGGATGGAAAATGTTTGAGCATATTGACTTGGTTTAGCTTGCTGAAATGGGTTAACACTGAGAACACAGGTTACACATACTGTGTGTCAGTTCACTGTAGACAAATTAAAGCCTTAGAACACACATACTGTATACCTTCTTCTCCTCTCCTCTCCTCTCCTCTCCTCTCCTCTCCTCTCCTCTCCTCTCCTCCTTGCTATTGCTGAAGAGATTACTAATCCTGAGTGAACCTTCTTTTTACCAGCACAGTGTGAACCCACATCTGCATTCTGCACTCATGTACCTTTTGCAGCAAGTGTTTTATGTTTGTGTGTGTGTGTGTGTTTACTTTCTTCTTTCTTTCTCTTCAACTATATCTTTGGTCTCTCCAACCTGATTGTCTGTTTGTGAAAACCTGGTGTTGAACAAGGAAAAGAAGAAACATGGTTTGATTTGAAGTTTGTATTTTTCATTTGAAGCCAGCATGGTTTGGGTGTAGTTTGCTCCTGAGTTCTGGCATGTCTTCAACAGCGCCTGTTGAAGACAGCGCCCCCCAGAGGACCATTCCATGTCAATACAACTGCGCTGACTTGTGACTTCACTGCACTTTGGATTGAATTCAGCTTCATTTGCACTCACTGCTGCCTCCTGCGTTTGTGTCACTAAAAATATACTGAGTTCAAATTAATTTGTTGACTTTACTCATTATTTCGTTTCCTTTTCTTTTCCTTTCCAGCCCAGAGAAAAGGGGCGAATGAGATTTCATCGACTACAGAATGTCCAAATAGCGTTGGACTTCCTCAAACAGAGACAGGTATGAACACAAACATGAAGACATAACATATATCACATGGGTGATCAGATCTGTTGCTGTGAATTTGGACAAATATGGTGAACGTTTTTTTGTTTTTGTCATTATTTACCTCTTCATGGTGTCCTAGGGATTATGAACAGCTAAGACAATGTCTTAATATGTGCATTAGTCCAGTATGGAGAGAGTGTACATGCTGTAGTCCGTATTGCCGTGTAAGGATTTCCAGGTATTAGTAATTGCACACCACAGCTACTCTCATTTACTGGTGCCTGGGTGGGATAGTTTGTGCATAAGCTATTTGTAAGCTCCTCCAGACATGGTGTGAATAAATGACTTTTATGTAGTTTAAAGTTCCTGGTTCTAATTTATAGTCCCCTGCAGCAAATGCACCAACTTTGCAAAAAGGAGTGATTAGAAATTCTTTTCATCCTGGGACTGGGCTGTTTCAGTCTTTTGGTGCAATGGAGAGAAAGAGAGAGAGAAAACGTTTAACTTCTGGATCTATAACTGTACCAAACAGTTTTTCTAGCTTCATCATGCAGCAGCTACAGACTTAACTGCCTCCCTCTCATTCTGCATCTTTCATTGTTCCCCCTCTTGCTACCATGAATTAATCTCTTTCTAATTTACGCTGCATCTCTTTGTTTACTCTCAAACTGTAGCTCTTTCTCTCATTTACAACACCTCTTCCTCCATTTCTTTATTGTCCCCATCTTTCTTTAACTGCATCTCTCGCCTCTCTTGTGTCACTCCCTGGAGACAGCAGTGGTGGAAGACTGACCTTTTCCTTCCTCTGAATCCTCTCTGAGTTTCACTTCAGGTCTAATTATACAGCCCGTGTGGCGCGGCTTAGCCGGAGCCATTAGATTTAACAAGGTCTCTTTCAGATAATGGGCATGATAGTTAGAACAGAGATCATTTCTCATCCTTAACAAGCAGAAATGAAGACGAGTAATGTGTTTCTCTTTCATTGGTCAGTCCGGTGCAGTATTTGCTTGTGTCTTAGCAGATCTTCTCATCTTGGGCATTTTGTCAGGAAATAAAACAAATAATCTTCTGTCTTTCCGTTTTCAGGTCAAACTTGTGAACATCAGGAACGATGACATCACCGATGGGAACCCCAAGCTGACGTTAGGTCTCATCTGGACCATCATCCTTCACTTCCAGGTCTGTGCCATTCACATGCTCTGCTGTACCTTCTGGCTCTGTGTTTCCTGTATTGGACTCAATTACTGGTTATTTCAGTCCAACCAGCATGAACATGACTTCTTGAATTCTTCATTTGAAAAGCTTAATGCGCAGCTAAAGGCTCTTATATCCAGATCTTAATGAAATAATACCTGCAAATTGATTATGTAATAACTGAGTTACAGCCCACATCATTACTGCTATGATTCAATCTGGATTTTAACGAAAGCAAATTGCGCCAAATGTGGGCTTTATTTCTGGGTTGTTACTTGGCGTCTCTGTCCAGCTGTTGGGGTTTGATTTATTATCACTGCCAGGATGAGCTTAGCTGTGTGTGTGTGTGTGTGTGTGTGTGTGTGTGTGTGTGTGTGTGTGTGTGTATATGTGTGTGTGTGTGTGCTGGCAAACCAGTGTTAAGTTATGCAACAGAGGAGGCTGCTTTTTGCACCACTGAGTGGAAAAAAGAGTGTGTGTTCATATTTATGTTCCACTGTGGAATCTCTGAGCAAGGTGCGTTCAGAGACTAAAATGTTTCCTGCCAGTGTGATGGTTTACTTCACTGCCTCGGTCTCTGCAGTTAGAATGTACAGACTCTTTTTGAGAACAGAGAACGCTGCAGTGCAGTCTAATAAAGAAACAGCATGGTGATTATTCGACATATTAGTGTTAGTTTTTCATGCAGGTTAGTTTTTGTGAGTGTTTTCAAGAGTGTACAATGTGACTCTGTGCTCTGAGGCATTTGGGCATATCTGTGATTTGATCGTGTTGTTGTCCTGGCTCTGAGCAGGGCCCTGCAGGAAGCCGTCCTCTAAAACATCACACGAGGACAATGTTTGGCTTCAGTTTGGTAGTTGGACAGCTCAGGCTTGAAGGGAGCACAGGGGACAACATTTTCAGTCTGTAGGCTTTCATATAAACCCTGAGCCTGGATTTACACTCTGATCCTGTGCACCAGGCGTACAGTGTTTTTACTGAAATTGTCACATTTAAAATATTTGTCGCCTGTGGGCTCGTTGTACCGCAATCAGTGTGCAGACTAAACCCCTGTAATCCAAGGTAGTATCACAGTAAAGACTTACTGTGAGAGGAGTGCACCATGACTCTGATGCTCTAACAACACCTATACTGTACTGTGCCATCCACATTGATCAGGGATTCAACTGTCAGCTGTATACAGGCTGTGGGTTTAAAGGGACAGTTCATCCCATCATCAATGTGGATTTATTTTTTAGGTGTGGAGTGTTGGAGATGAAATGTCTGCCTTTTCTCAAGTTAGCGTTCCACATAAAAACAAATGTCTAAATCCTGCATTGTTCTCTTCAGGGCAGTGTGTTTAGTCTAGACAGTCAATCATTTGAACTGTTGTGTGCTCTTTCTGATTTCTGATGTGGAATAATTTCCTCCAAATGTTCCTGCATGGCTGTAGCCTGCAGTCAGGGGTGTACTCTGCTGAAATCATTACAGCGGGACTCCCATTACCACCGGGTCCCAGTCATGCATGATGGCTGTGTTGCAGACAAAAACAGAATAATGCAAAGACTTTTGAGGTCGAACAAAACATTCTCAGCATCTCAGTTTTATTTCTTAATTGTTGTTGCTGACACATTTTTGTCCTATTGATTTAAGAGAGATTTATGAACCAGGTGTAGTTGCTACGGCTGACCAGTAGACAGTGCTGCAATGTGACCCTTAGCAAGGTGACACTGCCAGCTGGTTGCCATGGAAACTAGTGCATGACACCCAGGCAACGGTTTTGGTGGGGCATGACTCAGCAGAGTGTCGTGTTACAGAGAGAGAGAGGGATGGAGGGATGCAGGAGGAGTAAAGCTCTAACCTAAAGATGACAGACAGGATGCAGGCTGAAACAGGCTGCAGGAGTTCAGGAGGAAAGAAATGAACAGGGGATGAAAAAATAAATAAACGGAAAGATGAAATTGGTCCCACAGAACAGCAAATAGTTTCAGAGTTCCCAGAGTTCACTGGGTTCATTACATGACGACAGTCTTTAGATTAGAGCTGCAGTGAGAAACTCCAGTCACACAGAACTCTGTGTCCCTGCAGTTTGTTGTGGCTAGATGATTGTTACTGCAAACACATGGTGGTGGATCACGAGCATGTGACAAATACATTCTGTGTATTTAATGCCCTCCCTTCTGGGTCCAATTTCCTCTTGTCCACTGTGTAATTACACTGCAGAAATACTAGATAAATGGGATAATCTCATGTGAGGACTGGAACTTCATCTGGACTCCAGTTTTTCTCCAGTAGAGACAAGGAAACATTCACCTCAAGCTCACACTGATGATCCCCTACTTGACAGTCACAAAAAAGACACTTTCCGTTACTTATATTGAAATCTTATTGCTCAAACTCTGTGAAGACACATGGTTTCAGTGCAGTACTTGGGCAATACTGTCACAAAATGCTGTGCCAGCTCACAGTAATTTTAAAGTTAAACCTGCAGCCACTGCTGAGTCAACATGACACAAATATTCACCATTACACAAGATATGTGACCCAAACTAGAAGAGAAATGATGATGAATTCATCCCTGGAAACAAGCCTCCAGGTGTTTGTCACCATGTCCTATAGAGTGACTCGTCACATCATAGATAGGACATCTCTCAGTGAGCTATCGTTATTGTTAGTCATTATTTCACCGGCAAATCAGGTTACAGATGAGCTGTTATTTCTGTCTTACCTCACTGTGTCAGCTGCCTCAGACAACCTGCCTCCTCAGCAATCCTGCCTAAACCAGGCAGCTTTAACTCAGACATTTTTAGTAACATCTTCTCCAAGTATCTGCTGCAACTATGTGTCCATCATCAGCTCAGCATTTAAAGCAAATAAAATGAGAACATCAGTATTTTCTGCAAGACAGCGACAAAGCTTTCACTGGCATATTTTCTAAGGTTCACAGTTCACAGTATGGATTGATATCACTCATATTTTTACATTTTCATCATCACTGGGAATCAAAACTTTATACTTGGTAGAGTAAATGTCAGAACAGCCATTAGGCAGCTTTAAACAACTGGCTATAATAGAAATTCATTCCTCTTTAATTTTCTAATATTTGTCCCACAAATTCCTCATATACACTTGGCTGTAGTTGCTCAATCAAACCACTAGATGACACCAGTTAGCCCAGTATTACAGATGACTTCGCTTGCTGTTAGTCCACAGCCAAACCTTGGACCCTCCTCATGTTGCATTGTGTCTGCTCATGATTGGCTAAGCTAGCTGTACGTCACTGCTTATTTATAGGAACTTAATTTCTGAGCTGTTGAAGAAATCCATCAGTGTTTCTCTGACTTGCTTTGAGCCAGAATCAGCAGGTGGGGTCACTTTATTAGTGTTCATCGCTGGTAGTAATTTAGACCCATATTGCATCAGTCGATCGCCATCTGTAAAACTGACTCCACTGCAAATGCCCACCATCGAGATCACTGTCTGGAGCAGAAACAAAACCAGCACTAATAAAATAGACATGGCAGATGTTTATATTTAGGTCTTTTGAAAAAAATCTTCAGCACAGACCTTCTTTGTTTACCTAACATTTTTTCCATTGTAACAAGGTTAGTCATGAGGTTTCTTAGCAACACAGACCAAACTGAGTGACTTTTTGTCATTTATGGCAGCTAGTTTTATCATCTTAAGTAATATGAATAAGTTGAAGGCCTTGGAGTTCATTGTACTTCTACATATCTGTTCTGTGGGGGCAGCAGTACTTTGGCATGAGATCTTGTATTAAAAGCAGCAGCAGTGCAGCTCTGAAATGCTTGCAAAGGCAGGTATATCTACATGCAACACCACAGTGAAGTGGGGTTTTCCTCTCAGTAATAATGTTTTTAGCAGTGGTCCATCCACATAAACAGATCAGGCGCCCTACTCGTCCATGCATGAGACTGTTTATGTGGAAGTGTATGAACTAGTAAGATTTTAGCTAAAATGCATGTGTTAGAGAAGTACTGAGCATATGATTGGATAAATGAGACTTGGATTATACTGCATGAGTTGTGAGTCAATATGACAGTATGGAGCCTGAATTATGATGCTTAAAATCTCAAGATCAGTCACTGTGCCTCACATTATCAATTAAATAGCTGCTAGATATATGATCAAAAGAGTTTTGGAAAGTCTAACACGCAGTGCTTGTGTCTCGTGAAAAGCTGACACTGGGTTCAGACGAAGGCTGCAGTCTGATTACCACAGCTCATGATGCTATGTCACCACAGCGAAGGGCTGAAAGTCTCAGGGGCTTGATTAGTGCTTCTCTCCCATTGGTTCATGCCTTTTCCCTCTGTGTGTGTGTGTGTGTGTGTGTGTGTGTGTGTGTGTGTTTGTGTGTGTTGTTCTTTTATGCTTTTGGTACTTTCGGTTAATGAGACGAGATGGATCACCATTGCTTTCCCCACTCGAGATCGCCGCCTGGTAGTAGTCTCTATCTGTATCTGTCACGCTGCAAACACTCGCCGTACATTAGGCACTTACTGTACAGTATGTGCAAATTACTATGAGTTCATACATCTGCAGTGTTCGTGACAAATCCTTTTCTTGTGCAGCGTTACTGCCATGCTGCACCGTATAGAATCACATGTACTGTATGAGCTGTGTTATTCAAAATGTGTGGTGTGATAGTGGGTGGACACCTATAGAGGCTTTAAGAAAGTACATGACAACGTGCCTTTTATTGTGTTCAGTGGTATACGGGGGAAGTTAAAAATCAGAATGCTACATCACTATTTTGGGCTGGCAATTTGGATCAAATTGTCTACTCTAGGATATGTATTTAATACTGGAATATCTATTAGGGTTGCTAATGTTTACATTATCTGTTAATCTTTTAATAATTGTTTCGATTAATTGTTTAGTCCATAAAATGGGCTGCTGGAACTGGAACATATTTGGCACTTTCGCTTGACATGCGTGATTTAAACAGTTAATCTATCCATTAATCGTTTTCAGCACAACACTAA